CCCAAAAGTGGGTTTTTTTGCAAAAACTCCAGCGATTTTGACGCAGCACCTTTCTCTCTCTCTCTCTCAAAACGAAATTCCCAACTCCCCATCACAGCCCCATCACAACCCTCACTCTCTCTCTCCTCAAACTTCACTTCCAGGACCAGATTCCCTTCCCAAACCCTCACTCCCAGGACCAGACCCTCTCCCAAAATCCTCTCCCACCTCTCCCCAGAGCTCAGCCTCTCCCACCAATCGCCGCCCGCCTCTCCACCACGAACCCCAGTCGTGCCTCCGCCTCCTCCTCCTCCCCGCCGCCATTAACGACTGGATTTCGTCAATCCCTCTTTGAACTCAGGTAAGGATCACGCCCCAATTTCAGTTCGATGAACTGATTTTTTTTTGAGCCTCGATGTTTAAGTAGCCTTCAGTACTGGAATCACATCACATTTTGGGTCTCAAGCAAGCTACTAGATTTCTTCAGGTGAGCTCTCTAAAATTCTTTGTCGCTAGGAAATTTTTTGGGCTTTTTTTCCTTACAAAATTTTTTGGCAACTTTATATATTAGTAAGTCGAGCTGAGGATATATAAGGATAGTGTTTTATTTCTTCAAATTTAACTTATTTTTGTTTTGAATATATAAATACAAAAGAAAGTTTTAAACAGGATGTCTAATCTACAAGATGTTTGAGTTCACTTGTTCTTTCCATTATGAGAGCTCTATTAAAGAAGAGGTCAATTCTATTTTATTTTATTTTATTTATAATTTACGTGGAGATTATAGCCGCTAACTCGGCTCTAATTTGTAGGAGAGAGTTGGGTGATCTTGACTTTGAATTAAAAAAATTTAATCCTTGATTTACGTTCAACAGGGCCATGGATCCTAAACATTTTCAGAGGATTTATCCTAAAAAAATTTAATCCTTGATTTACGTTCAACAGGGCCATGGATCCTAAACATTTTCAGAGGATTTATCCTCTTATTGCAATGGTAAATGTTCTGATTTTACTGAGCATGAAAGTTAATGGGTACCTTGTTCCTAAGACTTTCCTTTCAAATGCCGAAGCTAAAGGAGCAGGTAATGGTGTTTTTTTTTACTTTCAATTAAAAAAAAAAAATTTAAACCTGAGATCACTGAAATTGGTTGTGCAGTTTGTTTAGATGGAAGCCCCCCGGTTTAAAAATTATCAGTATCGTTCTGGGACTAAAAATTAAAAGCAAAGTTATAGACACTCCATCAGACATATAAATAGTCGTATGAACTTGGTTGTGCAGTTTGTCAAATCCAATCTTTCACACTCTCAGCAAAGTTATAGATTCCTTGTGATCGATTCTATGCCAATGAACTTCAATTATGACTAACGAGAAAGCTGTTTGATCCCGCCAGAAAAGGGTAGCTTGATTGTGCATGCTGACAATCTTATTACTTGTCGAAGGCTTCTCTAATGATGTGAAGGACTTCATATTGTGTAACTATCATTCGAAGGTCCTCGTTTATGAGGGTAGAAATGCACTAAATATCTTGCAGATACATTTGCTATTGCATCGTCAAGATAATAGCATCTATATATTATGAGCAAGAGGGTAATGAGTCATCAAGTGAAGATGGGGATGATATAAGCCTAAATATTGGCTTTCTTGATCCGTAGTTGAAGATTAAGTGTTCGAAGAATTGTGTGAATCCTTTTGAATGAACCCAATTGTATGTCTTTAGTTTAATATTGACTTTTGAATGAAAGATTATTGTATTGTTTGGGCATTACTAAATTCAGCGTGATGGAAGATTATTGTTGTTCTAAACTAAATTTCTTGCTTATAGTAAAGCATTGGTTTGTGAGCATAAGCAGAGAACAACCAAGAACAAAAAAAAAAAACTCAGTAATGAATACAACAAAAATAACTCAATATAACACACATCAGATAGGAATCTCAGTTCTCATAAATCTTCTTCCCCAACTGATAACATCCAATACAAAGTATGTAACTAAAATGCAACAGGGAAAAAAAACATTAGAAACAACAAATTTATAAAGTATCTCCATCAATCTCTCAACCTTTTTCCTCCTCAAGCAATAGCAGGCATGTCCTTGAGCCAAGCATCAAGAGGTTTTCCAATGGAGTAAACAATGAATCCGATCTCCCTCATTTTCTCAACATCAACCACATTGCGCCCATCAAAAAAGAACCACACTGAAAATAAGGTAAAATAAGGTAAAATAAGCCATAATAGAATTACAAGGAAAGTTAGCAAAAGCCATAATAGAATGAAAATAAGGTAGAGCACAAGGAAAGTTAGATACAGCATATCCTCCGTCAATTCCAGATTTCTTCAAATAACAATTACAGTTGGGTTCATCAATTGCTTGCTTGCTATACCCATCTCAATCGGAACAAAGCTATCTTTATGTTCTTCCAGCAATACAACATTAATTGGGTTCAATTACTACACCGGGCCAAGGGTTTGCAAGGTAAATCAGAGACAGACTTCCTCAATTCCACGAGCAACCAGCATTTCAGTTTCTACCTCAATTAGACCTGAACATACAAGAAATTAGCTGGCAAATAAGTTGGGGAGGCAAATTTGGATAATTACGGATCTTCCCCTTGATTTCCTTGTTAGTCGAAACCGCCACCTTTGTTTGCACAAACAAAACGTTCAACTCGCACCAAAGATCCTCCCCTTTTTTTCTCAATTTTAGGATTAAAATGAACAAGTTTTGATCTTTTTCACCTGCTCACTGTGACCTTGAGGGCGAGGGAGGAGGAGGAGGAGGAGGAGGAGGAGGAGGCGGAGGCACGACTGGGGTTCGTGGTGGAGAGGCGGGCGGCGATTGGTGGGAGAGGCTGAGCTCTGGGGAGAGGTGGGAGAGGATTTTGGGAGAGGGTCTGGTCCTGGGAGTGAGGGTTTGGGAAGGGGATCTGGTCCTGGAAGTGAAGTTTGAGGAGAGAGAGAGTGAGGGTTGTGATGGGGCTGTGATGGGGAGTTGGGAATTTCGTTTTGAGTGAGAGAGAGAGAAGGTGCTGCGTCAAGATCGCTGGAGTTTTTGCAAAAAAACCCACTTTTGGGGGAATGCGTACGCATAAATGCGCATGAGAAATGCACTTGCGGGCATGCGTAGCGCATAAATGCGCATGAAAATGCAATATAATATCATATATATATATATATAATATATATATAATATATATATAAGAAAAATTAGTAACTTGATACCAAGCATAGATTTTTGTGTTTGGTAAGTTGTGTTTTTGGGTTGAGGTCTTCATTCCCATCCACTATTATCATTCCAGCCACTACCCCACTATGCGAATGTAGGCTCCCATTTCAATGAGTGGAGAAATATGTTACCGTCACTATCAAACCCAAAAACTTGCGCTTGACTAAACATACTCATTTCCCTTTCTCCCTCTCTCTATATATACTATATATATATATATATATATTATAATATAATATATATATATATGGCAAATAATTTTACAAATTTAAAAAAAAAGAATAATTCAATATAGATAAGCAAATTAGTTTGTTTGGACTTCGCTTTGATGCGATAGAGATAAGCATATTGACGCAATTCATGTCTGAGTCCTCAGGTATACGACGCAATAAGTTCCTCCATTTGCGTCTCTGATGGTTCTAGGAATTGTTTCACCTAGTACTTGTTCACTAGCTCCAAACCATAACAAAATGGAGAATGCACATGATACAACTATGTACACGACAATTTCTTCATCCTCAGGATCAAGTTCCAAATATAAATGTCTCCCCATCATCCAAACATTCATGAATACGATACAAGGATGAAAATGTATGACTAAAGTGACAACTGAGAAGTGAGACAAACATAATACATAAAATGGGGACAAATTTTCAAAACCATCCGGTTTTGAAATTTATTCCCAAAAAAAGATTCTTTTCAACTTTAATTACAAAAACAGACCCAGTTGGATGAAACTGGGTCTGTTTTTGAAAAAAAAAATTTCAAACTTCACGGGAGTTGAACTCCCGTGAAGTTTTGTTATGAGAAAAAACTTCACGGGAGTTCAACTCCCGTGAAGTTTGAATTTTTTTTTTCAAAAACAGACCCAGTTTCATCCAACTGGGTCTGTTTTTGTAATTAAAGTTAAAAAGGGTTGTTTTTTATAAATAAATTTTAAAAAGGGATGGTTTTAAAAATTTGTCCCATAAAATGGAGATCGGAGATTATATGTCAAAAAGTTTAGTATTACAGAGAACTAAAGCATGATGATAAACTTCTTCTGTAAGTTTCAAATGCTCTAGCAAAGTCAATATATTATCTAATTTAAACAAAAGAAAAAGGGGAAAAAGGGAAAAAGAATACAAAGAACATATCTATAGACTATATGGGGCATTGTTAGAAATAAAATTGATGTGGCTTCTATGTTTCAGCTAGAGAAGAACATGACTAATGAGCGAAATTTTAGTGATTACAGGTTGTAATTTTTTAATAATTTACTGATTACAAGGCAAAACATGCATACAAAATAATTTAGATAATTTCAACTATCCCCAAATTCAAGAAAAAAACCCAATAAAGAAGCAACAAATTATTCAAATTGGCAAATAATCACAACCAAATAAGAAAGTATTGCATGAAATTGAAGATCAACTCTCAAGTCAAGATCATATATTTATAATTCCACCAATTGATGTTGAAACCCTAGCGGAACCCCCAAATTTATAGGAATTTTTCTCCGAATTCAGCCAAATAGCAAATCTTCCTTGTGATTCTCTAACCATAGAGGGATAATCTCGCCAGAGAGATGTCCCTTTAGTTAAAAACAAAACAAAACAAAACAAAATAAAGCAAAAAAGCAAGATGAATAATGGGTTCAGAGGAAAGAGAAGAGCTCCATATATATAAGATGTGATAGAGATCTCCGGCATGGATTGAGAGAGATTCCAGAGTACGATCACAGAGTGCTAATGGAGGGTTTTTTGGGTGCGATCTTAAGAAGACGTGTGAAGAACTCTGTGATACATTTGTCACCCTCCAGGCCCACGAGCCCGTTGGCACGTGCAAGCCGTGAGACCCACAAAAAACAACTCGATGTTGGCTAAAGTTCATTGTCAAAATGCTAGCACTAGTTGTTCTTGGACCTTTGGCTTCTCTATTTAAACCACTAACATTTCTTCACACTAGTCCATATTGGACTGAAATGGGGCTATCACAAACTCAGCGACCAAGAAGATGAGTTGATGAGGGCAGATAAAAAGCATGGGTTTTATTGCTTTTTTATTTGGATATAAGTTGTAATTCCACTTGCAACTTAAAGGGCCCATTAGTTGTTTTCTGTTGCAACTCCCACTTGCACTCATTTTTCACTACAACTCAAATGTTGCGATTAGAGGGATTTTACCAAGGTTTTAAATGTCAGATATCGGATTCATGTCGGATAGCGAAAATCGGGGATATATCGAGGGACATATGCTAAATATCGGATTGTCATATCGAGTAGATTTTTACTCAATTTTGGTCACCAAGATGGAATACACTTGTCTTGTTATAGCTTATCCTACTTGAGTTGAGTCTTCATCATCAAAACATGAGTCGTTTTCGATTTCTTGAAGGGAAACATTAGAATATTATACCAACAAATAAATAAAATACACATTGTCAAACTAGAACTTTCGAAGTGCCTGGCATAAAATTAAAATAAAGTAAAATACCTTGAATAAAATTGACATAAAGTATTAGACTTTGAATTGATTTCAAGCTATGGTTCAAACTTATTGTTCACATCATGCTTTTATGTATTCTCAATTTTAACTTTTAGAGATGAAGACGAACGAGAGGAGATCGCGGTCGAAAAGAGAGCACTATTTTTTCTTTACCCTAATATGTATTATATGCTATCGGGTTACTATGGGAATAAAAATCTAAAAAAAAAGAATTAATCTGCTTTGGCTTTTAAGTAATAAACCCAAACCCCAATAGTTATCAACTAAAAAATTAAGAAATAAAAAAATTACCTGATTTCCGATGATTTTTCAAGGCTAAAAATCGGCCGATATGTCCGCAATATACCGGGACATGTCCGACATGGATCTCGAAAACAATATCCGACTTGGAATGGCCATATCCGTGTTGCTCTAGCCTCTGATCCGACTTGTCGGCCGACATTTACAACCATGGATTTTACAACTATGGCTGTAATTACAACTACACAGTTGTAGCAAAACAAACAGCTGCAACTGAGTAAAAAAATACCTAGTTGCATGCATCTAGAGTTGCAACCGCCTTAGTTACAGTCTACCAAATACCACCATAATGTACTTGTGGCTTGTTAATGAGATAGTTCTACATCTCATTCAGTTTCTATACATACTTTGTTGCTTTAATGCTAATAAATTTTTTTTGATAGAAAAACAAGGGTTAAACCCTGTTTATTAATAAGCCAAAAAACAAGTACAAAGTTGTTTTAAGTACAAAAAGGATACGAAATGTATCCAAAAGTTAGTAGATAGAAAATATAATTTCTTATAATTAGTGACGTATAACCTTCTTCTTCCAAAGATCTATGAAGATGAAGAGTGGGCCTTGCCGTCATTCATCGTTGACATAGATATAAAGAAGAACCAAAGCCAGCTATACGTATAATTAGAAGAAACTAAATTTTCTATAAACTAACAGACCAAAAAACTATAAACAAGGTGAGGGAAGTTCCAACAGATAGAAACTAACAAAAACATCTCAAAGAATAAAATTTCACGCAGATCTTCTCATCAAGAACTTCTCC